ACCTAGTGATTGCTGTAGTGTTCGGGGTTGTTTGGATTGGTTTGAATGTACGATCAATGTGGAACCTTGTCGTTCAGAACAAAATTGTTCAGTTGATAAATTGTCGTTCTATTGCCGGTTGTGGTTTTGGGGTCGATCGACAGTATCTTTCTGGTTCAGTGACCCGTTTGTGGTTGAACATTTGCAGAAAGACAAATTCCCTCAGGAATTTCATAATGAATGTAGAATTTGTACGGTTAGTAGTCAAAAAGTGTTTGGCCCGATTAGTAGGATTTCGGGAGGGTGGCCTACACAGGTTGCTTTATGGTGGAACAAGCGTATCAGGGATGAGTATTTTTTTAAAGCGCTATATGATATGGATGTGGAGGAGTTGTTAAGATGCATTGTGTCGAACTGTTGGTTGGTAGTGATCCCGCTGAAGTGTACTTCCCCGTATCCGGTAAACTTTTTGGGAGTGATCTCAGTGACCACCGGGTCGTACTTTTTCAAGAACTTAGCTGGGAAAAATTTCTATTTGCTCAGCCTAGCTTGTCGCGGACAGTATTAAACTAGTAATTTGAAGATAGTAGCGAACTGGACTTCCAATTCCTTATTTACCACTTGTTCATATAACTATTTTATTTTTCACTGTAATATAAGGTATTCATTACTGATTACAAGTGTTTCATTTAGACAGGGTGGGTAGAAACCCTGATGGTGATTAACATCTACCAAACCCCTTCCCATCCAGGTTTAGAGAACTAAAAACAGAACCCATTTTAGACAACATTTTGAAATATAAAAACAATTAGCTTCAACATTAACAGAATGCATAGAGACACACGTAAATCTTGTTTGTATTTTGTCAGGCACTGGGAGTGATTATTTGTCATTATATTGTTTTAACAAACTGATTTGTTTGTTCTTGGACGTAAATCTTGTAAGCTTCCAGTCTGTGGTCTAACCGGGAAAACTGTCTGTGATATTGCCAGAATTTGAACAAACTAAACTTTGTGGCCGCGAGTTCTGGGTTCAAGTCCCGGTGAGGTGCCAATGAATATAATTTTGAAACAAATAATAAAATTCTACGCATTTCACTTGTTAGGCATCTGCTTCCTTTCCAGGCCAAGAGTCAATTTGTTGTTAGGTGGTCTGCATCTCATTGCAGAATGCTATCTCACACTTGAGTGAAAAGGAAACATTAAACAATCAAAGATCGTAAGGGCGAGAATTATGGCACCAGAGTTACAGCCACAATTCTTGGAGGGCCACCCTCAAGCTAAATCGCATCATTACTGGCCAAGCAGATCATTTTTGTGGAAATTAAGGGAAAAGTCTGGCAACGAAAAGACAGAGGAATCTCTTCGGGAAGGGAGACGAAGACACATCCCGGATTGTCTGTAGTTCGCTTCGGTAAAGTGGTTAATGGAATAAATAAAAGTGCTTTGCGAATCTACAAATCTGTTCTCATCTCCTTACCGAAACCTCCTTGCTGTCATTCAGCTTATACTCTGCCACGTAATACTCCTTGAGAAAAGTTCCATGAGTACCTGAACAGAAATTCCAGAATAACATCGTAATAGTCAGTGATCGACAAGACTTCAACCGAGCCGGGCAACTCCAAACGGAAAGAAAGTTATAACTTGGATGGTGTGACAAAGATGTCTGATGATGATGTAATGTGTATCATTAGAAAAGTAGGAAGCCAGCTGACATCTTTTACCTTAGATGGGGAAGATCTCACAGATGTTTTTTCTTACCTTCTTGTAAGCAGAAGAGAACAATACCACAAACAGTGTGAACTGAGAGAAATAACGCATCATTTCCACCAATCAGAAACCCAATCTTCGGGCGGTAACCTTCCACCCCGGGCATTACGAATCATAGAACAGGTTAGACCACTACTGGTGGTTGAGACGAACTATCAGAAAAGACTTCTACTAAACCGGGACATTCATCTGCGAGTAATGTCAGGTCTGTCACTAATTTTTTAAATAAATGGACAACAACGGCCTAGTTTTACCTGGTTCTACTGAGGTGTGGGTGGTTAAGGGTCAAGGTAACCCTCTCGTCTCCACCCACCCTCCTCAGTTATTTCACTTTAAAAAATCCGCAGGTTCCTCTGCTACATCCTCGAATGAGTTTACTCTCGACGCCATTACGTTGGTCGTTAGACCAGCGCGGTTTTCAAGCTTTGTGTGCAAAAGTGTGTTTCCTGGCAGTAGTTTAACGTATCCACCGTATCCAAAGGTGGAATTATTTCCAACATTTCACTACGTCAAGCGAATCCTTTACTCATTTAAGTACGAAAGTATCATTACAACATACTGTAATCACATCATGTATCAACATTGGCTGCCTAAGAGCTGTTGATCAGGTTATTGAAACAGATATCCAGTGAAGAAAGACGAAAGTTACTCGCAATTAATGCTAATTGCATTGATAAGCATTTCTTAGCGTTTTTGGTCTCTGGTTTGGACAACATCGGGTTAAATGAGACGCCACATTTGAATGTGAATCGATTTACTTGCTAATAATCGACTGGGAGTTTTCAAACTTTTTTGTTACGAACCTTGGATTATTTGTGTCTGAGGTCCTCGCCTCTGCCCACACGGGCAACGGCCAAGGCACGGCGCTTAAACCCAACGCCTCTATGAGTCTAGCGACTGAGCAAGTTGAGTTCGTCAGGTTACGCGTGGGAAACGCGGATGACAGCGAACAGCTGAACCGGACAACCAATTTTACCGGCGGAAAATGTTGCAGACATGGCAACAGGACACACGAAGGATGCTGTTCAACGTATCCAAAAGAGTGACTCTGGAAAAAGAACGGAAATCCCGCCCTACAAGAACGAGTTACCGGAAGAGC